CGACTCCTAATCCAACATGGAAATCAAAGTGGGATGATAACAACAAAAATGGGGCTGCACCTAGAGATAAAAATGATTGGCAAAAGGGCAAGGATGAAAATGCTAGCAAACCAATATCAAAATCGGAGGCACAACCGTTGCACAATCGAGACATCAAATATTTTAGGTGTTTGGGAACGGGGCATATTGCTTCTCAATGCCCAAACAAACGGGTGATGGTGTTGCGGGATAATGGAGAGATCGTGAGTGATAATGATGGCGAGTTTGATGACATGCCGGTATTGGAGGATGTTAGTGATTAAGAAAAAGTTAAAGGGCCGGTTGGGGATCTACTAGTCACAAGGCGAGTTCTCACTACTTACGTCAAAGCGAATGACTTGGAGTTGCAACGGGAGAACATTTTCCACACTCAATGCCACATCAACAATACGGTATGTAGTGTTATAATTAATGGTGGTAGTTGCACTAATGTAGCTAACGTATCTCTTGTAGAAAAATTGGGTTTAACATTGTTGAGACACCCGAGACCTTATAAATTGCAATGGTTGAATGAGAGTGGCAAGGTGAGGGTGAATCGAAGAGTGTTACTTAATTTGTCAATTGGGAATTATAAGGACGAGTTAGTGTGTGATGTGGTGCCAATGCAAGCGGGACATATTTTATTGGGGCGACCATGGCAATACGATAGGGAGGCTATGCATGATGGGTACAAAAATCGATATAGTTTCATTAAGGATGGAAGGATCATTACTCTTGTACCATTAACACCGACGCAAGTCTATAAGGACCAATTAAAATTGAGAAGTGAGAAAGAGAGGAAAGCAAAAGAGTTAGAAAAAATGAGAGCAAATAGTGAGTTGGAGAAAAAGAGAGAAAATATTGAGATAGCAATTAGAGAGAAAAAGAGAGAACAATCACAAGAGAGAAAAGAAAGAGAGTGTCCCGAGAGAAGAGAGAAAACACGAGCGAATTTCTTTGCAAAAGAGAGTGATTTGAGGAGGGCGGTAGTTAAGAGAAAAGAGATGATCTTGTTTGTTTATAAGGAATCACTCCTCAATTTTGTGGAAACTAACCCACTCCTCCCTAGTTTGGCTAAGTCTTTGTTGCAAGAATTCGACGATGTATTTTCAGAGGATGCTACAAGTGGATTGCCGCCTATTCGAGGCATTGAACATCAAATTGACTTCATACCCGGAGCTGTCATTCCAAATCGACCGGCTTATCGAAGTAATCCAAGTGGAGGAGTTAATGAGCAAATGATACGTGAGGGAAAGCATGAGTCCTTGTGCGATACCGATTTTGCTTGTACCAAAAAAGGATGGAATATGGCGAATGTGCGTGGATTGTAGGGCTATCAACAACGTAACGGTAAATCGTCACCCTATACCTAGGTTAGATGACATGCTTGATGAATCACTTGGTGCTTGCATATTTTCTAAAATTGATTTAAAAAGCGGGTATCATCAAATTCGTATGCAGGAGGATGATGGATAGAAAATGGCTTTTAAAACTAAATATGATTTATATAAATGGTTGGTTATGCTGTTTGGACTCACAAATGCACCTTGCACTTTTATGCGTTTAATGAATCACGTTTTACGTGCTTTTATAGGAAAATTTGTTGTGATTTATTTTGACGACATTTTGATCTATAGCAAAGATCTAGGAGAGCATTTGAAACATTTAAAGTGTGTGTTAATTGTTTTAAGGAAAGAACAACTCTATGTTAATCTTAAAAAATGCACGTTTTGTATGGATAGAGTTATTTTTCTTTGTTTTGTGGTTAGTATTAATGGGGTAGAAGTAGACGATGAAAAGATAAAGGATATTAGAGATTGGCCGACACCTAAAAGCATAACGGAAGTTAGGAGTTTTCATGGTTTGACTAGTTTTTATAGGCGTTTTGTGAAAGATTTTAACACTATCACCGCATCGCTCACGGAAGTAGTTAAAAAGAGTGGAGATTTTCATTGGGATGATGAACAGAAACTTGCATTTAATACTATTAAAGGTAGATTGTATGAAGCACCTGTTTTAGCATTATCTAACTTTGATAAAATATTCAAGATTGAGTGTGACGCATCAGGAATAGGGATTGGAGCAGTTTTAATGCAGGATCGGAGGCCTATTGCATACTTTAGCGAGAAATTGAGTGGAGCTCCTTTAAATTATCCTATATATGACAAAGAACTTTATGCACTTGTTCAAGCTTTGGAGACTTGGCAACATTATCTATGGCCGAAGGAGTTCGTAATACACACCGATCAAGAGTCACTAAAGCACTTGCGAGGATAAGGTAAATTGAACAAGAGGCATGCACGGTGGATGAAATTCATTGAGACCTTTCCATACGTCATTCGGTAAAAACAAGGTAAGGAAAATGTGGTGGCGGATGCGTTGTCGCGAAGGTACATATTGCTAACTACTCTTGATTCTAAGCTACTTGGGTTTGAACATATTAAGGAATTGTATGAAAAAGATATTGAATTTTCGGATATTTATTTGTCATGCATAAAAGGGGTGGTTGATAGATTCTTTAGGCATGGGGGGTATTTATTTCGGAAAAATAGGTTATGTGTTCCTAATTGTTCTATTCGGGAGTTGTTAGTAAGGGAGGCTCATAGTGGTGGATTGATGGGACACTTTGGGGTTCAAAAGACTTTAGATGTATTGAAGGAGCATTTTTACTCTAAGATGAAAAGTGATGTTGAGTGAATTTGTAGTCGATGCATAGGTTGTAAAAGGGCTAAGTCTATGGTTTTACCTCAAGGTTTGTACACACCTTTACCTACACATAGTAAGCCTTGGGTTGATATCTCGATGGACTTTGTTTTAGGTTTACCTAGGACTAAGAGAGGTCGGGATTCTATTTTTGTGGTTGTAGATAGGTTCAACAAAATGGCACATTTTATAACATGTCACAAAACTGACGATGCCACAAACATTGCTGACTTATTCTTTAAAGAGATTTTGCGTTTACATGGGGTTCCTAGAAGCATAGTGTCGGATTGGAATGTCAAATTTTTGAGTCACTTTTGGAGAGTTTTGTGGGGTAAGTTAGGCACTAAGTTACTATTTTCCACAACTTGTCACCCACAAACGGATGGGCAAACCGAGGTAGTGAATAGGACTATGACACAATTGTTACGTACAGTAATCAATAAAAATTTGAAGAGTTGGGAGGAGTGTCTACCATTTGTTGAATTTGCATACAATCGAGCTGTTCACTCTACTACGTCATATTCTCCATTTGAAATTGTATATGGTTTTAATCCATTAACTCTTTTGGATTTAATTCCTTTACCTGTGAATGAACGTGGTAGTTTAGATGGCAAAAAGAAGGCGGAATTGGTTAAGTCACTCCACGAAAAGGTAAAAGCGCAAATTAAAAACAAAAGTAAGTTGGTTACGTCGCAGGCGAACAAAGGTAGGAAGCGCGTGATATTCGAGCCAGGAGATTGGGTTTGGGTGCACTTTAGGAAAGAGCAGTTTCCGGAGCAAAGGAAGTCCAAGTTGCAACCGAGGAGCGATAGACCATTTCAAGTGATTGAAAAGATAAACGACAATGCTTACAAGTTGGACCTTCTAGGTGAGTACAATGTTTCAGCTACTTTTAATGTATCTGATCTCTCTCTGTTTGATGCAAGTTCAGATTCGAGGACGAATCCTTTTGAAGAGGGAGGGGATGATATGATCCAGGAGTCGAGCCCGACGAAGGCGAGTGTGAGACGAGACCCATTGATAGTCGATGGCGGACCAATGACGCGATCAAGGGCAAAGCAAGTGAAACAAGCGATGAGATTGATCGTTCAAGAAACCATTGATGCAACCATATTCGGGATTCAAAATGGAGTAACTTTCATGTTCGGGTCGATGGCCGAATCAACTTGGATCAATTTATTATCAAGCGACGAAATCGGAGGCTGAAAACAAGCCTATGCGACCGCATAGGCTAAAACACCATGTGACCGCATAGGTGCTTACTGAAACTCAAAGGAGCCAACCGGACTGAACCATGCGACCGCATAGAAATACACTATGCAATTGTATAGACCATTTTTTTGGTGAATTTCCTAATTTTGGCAATTTTTCATATTTTGTTAGTTTTTGATTCTTTTCCATATTTTAGGGATTATGATCGACTTTTGCACAATTTTTACCTAGTTTTTAGGTTTAGTATTAATAGGAGTTTCCATTCAATTGTTAAAAACTTTTGACATTATTAATTTTGAATTAAAGTGAGGCGTATTGTCTTCTCTTCATCGTTTTTCATTGAACAATTTCAAACTTATCAAGTGTTAACTTGTGGCGTTCAAACAACCGGATTTAATTTTTGGATTGCGTGATCAAAGGGTCTTTCAAGCGTCGTTCTTGTTGGGTTTTTTGTTCGACTTTCTTTTGGATTAATCCTAAACTCTTTGATTAATTTGACGTTCTTGGGTTCGTCAATCTCGTTGTGGGTTTCATAGTCAACGTTGCTACGAGATTCGCATCATCAACAGTGAATTGTTCCATTTTATCTTACTATAGCAATTTTTTTTTGTTATGGAAACAAAAACGACGTCGTTTGTCTTCAATCATTTTTCTATTTTAACACGTCATTTTACTGCAACCATCACCTCCACTAGAACATTTTTCCATTTTCACACACTAGTTCACCTCATACAATCCAACTGATAAAGAAAAAACTGAATTATTTAACAAATTAAACAAATAAAAATTACAAGCAAAAATAAAAGGAAACAAAAAATATGGAAGAGGTAAATATAGAATGAAGTCTTTTTAACTTACAACTATGTAATAAAAAAATAAAAAAAAGGCACACGCACTTTTCCTACCTAGATTTTTGACAAAAAAATTCATTTTTTAATATAAATCATTTAATATTTTAGATTTATTTTACTAAAAATTTAAAAAAATAAAAATAAAAAATTAGTCTCCACCTCCTGTTCACTCCGTGCACGGAAGAAACACACTCTGTGCACAAAGCCTATGGAGTAGCGCTCCGTGCACGGAGTGAACATTTTGCCACGTTTCGCATATATTTTACCCTTTTTATGTATAGGGCCTTCGTATATTTTCATGCAAGCAGTTCCCTGTTTAACCACGTTCTATGCTTGTATGATCAGGTACCGTTTCTGACACTATGATATGCCACCCCCAACGAATTTGACTTCTTCCTTTGTAGTCATGCCGGGATTCAAGTAAATTTGATTTCCATTGAGTATTGTTTAGATACGTAGGATATTTTGCTTTATAATTCTAATCGATTTTTGCATTTCCAATCAGGGAACTAGCCGTCCAACGCGCTACCATGTGCTATATGATGAGAACAGATTTAATGCAGATGCTTTACAAATGCTAACCAATAGCTTGTGTTATACGTAAACTATCCTTCCTAAAACTTGTATTTTTTATGAATGGCTTGAGGTCGCTTTTATGTATTCACAATTGGAAACCTTTTCCTTTCAGGCATGCCAGTCCACTTTTGGCGTTGTTATACTCAAAAGATTGCAGGATATGACTTGATCACTGAAATTTGCAAAGTTGTATCACTAAGTCTGACTTGAGAGGGGAAAAGATCCCAAGGGAACTGCAAATAGTATAAGATGCATAACCTTCCCAAGAGATGATCTCCTTATGAAAAAATAGAACCCATCTTGGATGCAATATATGTAATTGTTTATAACTTAAATTTATATCAAAATTCTAATCACACCAAATAGAGGCTTACTTTAAAAGCCAACTTTCCAAGAAAACTGCTTGTCTAGAATGCTGAGAATCTTCTTTATTTATCAACATCACTTGTTTAATGAACACTGCTACATGTACACTATGGTGTACACTTTAGTTTACACTTTGTTACGTGTCATTATTCTATTGGACAATTTAAATTTCAAACAGTTTTTTCATTCAATTAACACTTGACAACAACGCAAGTATCAAACAAAATGTAAAAAATCAGTTTATAAATAGCAAAGTTCTTGTTTAATTGCTTAATCATTAATCAATGCACATTTTTATATGAAAAGTTTCCATATTAAGAGGAGAAAATATATTCGCAATGTTTGTTGAGAACTTCCCCAATTTAGAGCATGTCTGGTTAAGTTTATCTAAAAAACCAGCTTTTCTCGACCGGATCTCGCTAGATAAAGTTGAGGAAGGATCAAAAAAACAAAAATGAGTGAGATGCTACTCTTGTCAATTACGAGATTTTGCACCTTGTTTAGTACACAATTTAATAATTTTTTGAAAATGGGTTAGATTTTTTAGTACAGTTGGAAGGGGTTTTTATTCTCAATTGGTTCTAAACGCGGCACAACAAGAGTCTGCCAAACTATTTAAGAATATTACTTTTAACAATTGATTTTAATCATCATTCATGCAAAATAAATGAAGTTAGAATTAACACAATTCAAGAAAATACAAAATAAAATATTGCTTGAAATCGGCCAAAAAAGAAAAAAGAAAAACTCATTCTCCGTGCACGGAGAGATTACGGTCTGTGCACAGAAAGATTTCTCTCCATGCACAAAGAGATTACGGACCGTGCACGGAGTGCCACTATTCTCCGTGCATGGAGAGAATTTTTTTTTCCTTTTTTTTTCTTTTTTTATTTGTTCTGTTTATCTTATAAATAAAAAAATTTCAATTTAAAATTCTTTTTAATTCTTTTCTCATAAAGCTTAATTTTTCAATTTTAACTAAATAATATTTATATATTCTTTATATAAATTTCATAACTTTGTTCTATTTTGTTTTTATTATATTTTTTTAAAATTGTTTTAAAATTTCTTTTTTCATCATATCATAAATAATTTTTTTTCGATTTAAAATTCTTTTTAATTCATTTCGTTTTATGATAAAACGTCATTTTTTATTTTTAATAAATAATATTTATTTTTAATTTTAATTATTTCAATTTAATTAAAAAACTTTACAATAACTTTTTTTTTCACCTACAATTTTTTTTATTCTTTAATTTGTTAAATCATTTATTTTTTTTATCCATATTGGTGTAAAATGATTTTTACGAACTAAATAATTTAACAAATTAGAGAACAAAAAAAAAATTCAGACAAAAATAGAACAAAATTATTGGCCAAAATAAAAGGTTACTGTAATTTTATTTTTTTTGCCTGATTTTTTTTTTTTTTTTTTTTTTTGCAATTTTTTTTTTTTTTTTTTTTTTTTGTTAATCATTTAGTTTGTAACTATCATTCCATGCTTGCTATAATATTGCACAGCGAGAATTTTTTTTTTTTTCCAATTTTTTTTTTTTTTCAACTCCAATTTCTCGGCGCACTCCCATTTCATCGTCATTCCCCATCCACTAGCCTTCCCTCACCATTGCCAGTCCTCCCCTCTCCTCTGTCCGGCTGTTTCTATTCCCAACTCAAGTTGACTGCCACTGCCTCCTCTTGGCTTCTAGTATTTCAGATATGCCCAATTCCTAATTAAAGAATATTATGTACAAGAATGTGGAGGCCCAAGAGCATGAAGCCATTTAATTTGTCAAAAATTAAAACATAGCAAAATAAAAGTGCTTCTAAATTGATCTCATCTTTTAAGATTTTACACAGATTTACAATTTTTCATTATAGCCAAACAAGAAAAAAAATCTAAATAAAAAAATTCCCCAAGGTTCTGTGTTTTCGTATCAAGAATTATTTGCAAATGAAAAGATTCAAGTTTTCGCTTAACTTTATCCCTCGAAAGCAACTTCTCCGTGAGCATTCGGACCTATTCACAAACAAAATAATTAGTGACAACTAAAGTGTAAATTGAATTTTTTTAACCAAGCAATAAAGTGTACCTCATTTTTCAGTTTCTCATTCTCTTTGAATTGGCTATAATCTGCCTTTCTTTTAAAGAATCACAGCTTTCTTTTAAAGAATCACACTCTTTCTCCAAGTTCTTTGTTTTGTACCGGGCTCGACGGTTTTGGAACCAAATTGCAACTTGCCTAGGTTACAGTCCAAGTCCTTTAGCAAGCTGGAGCTTTCTCTTTGGTTCGAGCTTATTTTTCACCTCAAAACTTTTCTCAAGAAGCTGAACCTGATCGAGCGTTAGTGGGATGTCAAACGGGTCGAGCGGCTCGTCAGCTCGTCAAAACCCGACTCGTAAGCGGCTGGGGCTCGTCATTTAGCCAAACAGGGGGCTCAATCTCACGAGCTCATCGAGCCCACGAGTGTTGACGAGCCCACAAGCTCGTCAAAAAATATGAAAAAAAAAAGGTCAAAAATGTGCAAGTTTACAACAACAAAAAAAAAAAAAATTTAAATTTAAAAAATCAAAAAAATCACGAGCTCGCAAGTGGCTCGTGAGCTCCACTAGGCCCACGAGCTAGTGGCTCGTGAGCTCACGAGCTCGTGGGCCGAGCCCGAGGAACACGCCGAGCTCAAGCTCAGCTCATCTTTCACGAGCCCGAGTCGAGCTCGTGAATTAAAGGGCTGAGCCGGCTCGATTCGACCCAATGCCATCCCTAGGCGTGAGCCGCCTTTTCTTCTACGACTGTTGAAAGCAACCATCTAATCATCATTGCCATCTGCCTTTTTATCAATCTGTGTGAAAAATGAACTCTCTGGATTTTTGAAGTTTACCATGGATGTAGATCCTAAAACAAAGAAACCAGACAAAATGTTATCAGATTCTTCAACTAACATTAATTGCCCAGATTCCCATATTATCATAAAGAGAATGGGTAATTGGCGCAAAACGTCCCTACCTTTCAGCTTAATTGTGAAAAACGTCCCCACCTTTCATTTTTTGGCATTTTTGCCCTCATTTCAACCTTTCATTGCGAGAAACGTCCTTCCCTCCAACATCCGTCATTTCTTCCGTTAATTAAGAAAAAGATGCCATTTTCTTTCCAATCAACAAGGGTAAAACCGTCCTCACCATGGAACCTTTCATTTTCATCATCTTCTTTAAACAGCACGAGATGGTTCTCATTCCACTTCCTTTTGCTTCTTGAAAACTTTCCATTTGTCTTCCATTTCTACAATTGTTTCTCCATTCTTGTATGGTGCTATTTCTTGGTCAGTAGCTTCAACAAGATGTTTACTAGAGCCTGAAGAATCCAGCACCGTCTTTTGAAAATAATTTGGAAGCTGCTGGAAATTGGAGTTCATTAGCATAACAAAAAAAATCTGGAATTGAAGATGAATCCAGAAGCATGCTGAATAATTTATCTTCACCGTCGTGGATTCTCTAGAAGATTGAAGACGGCCACTTCACTGACATGCTAGAATTTGCTAGAAGATGAAGCCACTGACCTTGGATGTCTATATATATGTGTGTTGCTATATTTTGTATGTAAGTGTGAAAGAAGAGAGACAGTGCTTGGTGAGAGGAAATAATCTGGCAAAATAATTGGTGAGATGCTCTAGTGTGTTTGGTTAAGATTTTTGATGTGTGTGCAAAACTGTATAAAATTTATTTCATCAATAAAATTATAATTTCTTGTGCGTTCTAAAATTCAAAAAAGTGATATTTGAGCTCAACAAAACTCAAAAGAGCCTGAAAAAGGAAGCCCAATTACCTTTCCTGCAAATGATATTCACGTTCAACATTTAGAACCGGTAGTTGAGTTCGTGGACTCAAGCTCATCAAGAGATTGGAAAGTGCTCTCAAGATTTTATTTTTTTTTTTGGTAAAATGATGTGTAAATAAACAACTGTTGTTTATACAAAATAAAGCAAAGCACTTTGGGAATGGATGGGATCTTGTTTATATGAAAATACGGCATTGATATTGTTGGACGTCTTCCACGGGTTTTTAATCATCCCTTTTTCTTTTTTAGATTTTCTTCGACCTTATTATGTTACTTTGTATACTTACAGGGTTTCCAATCTTTTTGGTCTAAATCCCAACAAACAATTCATCTGTGGGTTTCTTTTTTGGAAGTTTTTCTATGAAATGGCAACTAGAAGCTTCATGAAACTCATCCAGTAAACTGAAGAATTTTGTTACTGCTCAAAATAACCAAGGTTGAAGTCATCTTTTTCTTAATTACGGTTTTACCCCTATCGACTATAAAGAAATTGACATCTTTTTCTTAATTAACGGAGGAAATGACGGATGTTGGACGGAAGGACGTTCGTTGCAATGAAGGTTGAAATGAGAGCAAAAATGCCAAAAAATGAAAGGTGGGGACGTTTTCCACAATGAAGCTGAAAGGTAGGGATGTTTTGCGCCAATTACCTTAAAGAGAATTGACCCTTTCTTGAGGGCTGAAAATCACAATATATTGAAATTAGCTCTTCTTTCATTCTTAATTCTGTACAATACTGAACAATCCACCGCGCAAAAATCTACAAAATCTTAACTTCAGTTTCTTCCTTAACACTATCCAACACTTTAAAATCCACTGCACGAAAATTTACAAAAATTTAACTTTGTTTTCTTCCATAATACAGTCCAATAATTTAGAATTTACATTATAATAATGTGAATCTCTAATTCCCCAAAGGTATATCAAAGCTGCTTAAATAACATAGTGACTGCAAATTATTAACAAAACGCTCTCAAAGATTAACAGAGTAAAAATTGAAGTCTTTACAAAGAATTTACACAAAACCCACAACAAAAATATTGGACCCTTTCAGACAAAGTACTAAATTCTATATCATTAAAGGGAAAAAATTATTACCATGAAAAGAAGAGAAAGAATTGGTAATCCAGAGAGAATCAAGAGCTTCAAAGAGCCAAGAAGCCATTCACTTTTGAACAGAACATTATTCATATTTGAACCATCACAAACTCTGGGATCTTCCATACCCTCAGCTTTCTGAAAAGATGATTTTTTTTTTATTTTTTTATTTTGTGGGAAGTTATAGTAACATACTTTGGC